AAAAAAAAAAAAAAAAAAAAAACACCACCGAAATGAAATACTTGAAAACACCTCAAGTAAAAAAAATTGGAGTTTTGTTTTAGAACGTGGAGATATTAGCTCGAGGAAAAGTAGGTATTTTGATTCTTTAAATAATTTTTACTTTTCTTTGTTAAGTTAGCATCTAAATACATATTAAACTGAAAAATTTATTAAAAAAAAAAAAACTTCTAAAAAAAATTAGGCACTTTCATAAAAACTTGCAAGTAAAATGAATCAAGCAAGCTTGATTTATTTTGAATTTAACCTGTAGTGAAATAACTACAATGACATGTTTTTATAGGAAACATAATTTTTTTTAAAACAATAATATTAAATATGATTTCACTACATAAATTACGAGGAGTACTTTCTTCCCCAAAAAAGCCCAATTGAATACCCCGAAATCAGTGGTAGAATTCCAAGGACGATGCAGTTAAAATAAGCACTCTGCACATAGTAAAAACAAAGGGTAAAACTAGAGTCATGTTACATGAAAATATAACAATTTCCTGCTGACACAAAACAATAGATGGACCCATGTGTTTTTAAAATAAAAATAAAAATAAAAGAAAGCACAGAGATCGATGTATCAGGTGGACAAAATTTGATTTTCCGATAACAGGACGGATGTTTAACCCAAAAACAAAATTTAAAAACATACCAAAAATTCCATTAACTCCTAAACATGAAAACCAAGGGGCGGTAAGACGGGGAGTTGAAGTGACATCATCACATCAATATTCTCCAAACCATTTATGATATTTTGATCTTCAATCAATTGGGGGAAAAAATTGATATATTGTTTTTTAAATAAAAAATTACAAATTTATGATAATTTTGAAAATAATTACATATTTATTGCATAATATCACATTCAATTTGGACATCATCAATCACGCCTAAATTGGATGTCACTCAAGAGGAAATCACACCTAATTTCGACGTCACTCATCAGATGTCGACACGTCCACGTTTTTTTTTTCAAAAAAAAATTAACAATTTAATCGTAAAACTTCTGAAGGCCATAACTTTTTACTCGGGTATCCAAATCAGATAATTCTTTTTTTGATTTTACATAACTTTTCGAGATCTACGTAATGACATCTCATTTGACATATTTTACTTCTCATAAACACAATTTAAATTTGCAAGAATAGTATTATAACAGCGGTTAAACCCAAAAGCTTCTGATTTCTGGGTTTGTGATTTAATATAAAAAAAGAAATAAAGATTTGATTTCTAATTTAAATTAAAAAATAATAATTTTTTATTTTTATTATAAAAAAATTGGTTTGTGATTTAAATTAAAAATAAAAATAAATTATTATTAATAAGGAAAACAAAATAAAGATTTGATTTGTGATTTAAACTCAAAAATCAATTTAAAAAATCTTTATTAATAAAGGAAATAATTAAATAAATATTTTAAATATCTAAGGAAGAAGGATATTTTTTGAAATTAATGATTAATTGTATATACTTCTGGGTTATTATTCGTGGTCTGAAATTAATGATGGCTTATGTATATTTTTCAAAAATAAAATCCTTATTCCTTAGAGATTTAGAATATTTATTTAATTATTATTTTTATTAATACAAATTTTTCAAATTTATTTTTGAGTTTAAATCACAAATCAAATCTTTATTTTGTTTTCCTTATTATTAATAATTTTTATATTTATTTTTAATTGAAATCACAAATCAAATCTTATTTATTTTTTTATATTAAATCCCAGACCCAGAACTCAGAGGCTTCTGGGTTTAATCGCTCTTTATAATACCATTTTTGCAAATTTAAATTGTGTTTGTGAGAAATAAAATAAGTCAAATAAGATGTCATTACATAAATCTCGAAAAGTTATGTGGAATCAAATAAAGAATTACCTGATTTGGATACTCGAGTCAAAAATTATGGCTTTCAGAAATTTTACGATTAAATTGTTAATTTTTTTTTAAAAAAAAAATTTGTGACACGTGTCAACACCCTATGAGTAACGCATAAATTAGATGTGACTCCTTGTTGAGGCCCAGATTGGACGTGATATTGTGCAATAATTGTATAATTATTTTCAAAACAACCATAAATTCATAATTTTTTATTTAAAAAACAATAAATTAATTTTTTTGCCTCATTTAATTAATATATCTTTCCCCCTACACTATGGTCAATAGTTTCAATTCCCTATTTTATTTTATTTTATTTTTGCTTTCGGACAAGGTAATAAAACGCAAAGTCAATCTCTTTATGATTTTTCAAAAATTTACAAATCCTTTAAATTTGTGATAAAGTCATTAAATTTTTTGTTAAAGTAAAATAAAGCTAATAGTAATAATAAAAATAATAATAATAATAATAATAATAATAAACAAAGAGGACTGCAAAGAGCTAAAAAAACAAATTCCTTATATTAAAGCACGGATGCACGAGGAAAATCATAAGCACCATAGTATATACAAGAGAAAACTAGTGTTTGCTTTAGTTGATTTAACTTTATTGAGAGAATTAGCTTATGTATAATTAACGAAATATAGCCACACATGGGTAATTTTACTCGCCTTACTAATATTATCACACACACATTATTTATTTTACGCACACATATTATTTATTTTACACACACGTATATTATTTATTTTTCCCTTTTCAGAAACCATGTCTAGTTGTCTACACTTACATGCTAAGCAACATTTCGCCTACAATAAACTTTTTTTTTTTTAGTTACCCAACCTTAATTACTTTTTTGAGGCGAGTTGGCTCCCTCGGTATCCCCACAAGCTTCGACTCTTTGAGCCGGCTATGAGACTAATCTGGAGTGCGGGAGTCAGTGATGTCTAAAGGTTCAGCCCCCTCTCCAAGAATGCATTCAGAGGGAATCGAACACATGTCCAACCCCACTAACTCAGCGCCAAGAAACCAACTGAGCTGCACCCATTGGGTCGCCTACAATAAACTTATATAATTTAACTAATATTTTTAAAAAAAAAAATACAACACATATTTTACACATCACTTAATGTGCACCAAATATCATAAAAGAACACCCCTCCCCTTCCCCTTTTTTAATAGTTTTGTGAGGATATATCGAGCACTTAATTTGTAAACTTCATCGACTATTATTATTATTGTTATTATTATTTTGAAATTTTTTTTTTAAAAAAAAACTTCATCGACTACTATTAGATATCTGCAACAATAAACCAATCAACACAGAAAGATATTTTGAGAAATGCAGAGAATAGAAACTCATCCAATGGACGAAAATGGATTCATACCCTTATCAGTCATGCAAAGTTGGCAGATGCAACTTCTGTGAAAGAAGAAAAGAGTATTCATTTTGGATTACGGAATTTGAATTTGAAAATAATTATCAACCAACCACCTGTCATATTCATACATAGAGATAAGATTGCAAACTCCTCTCCCTGTCCCTCTCCCCTAATCTATCCAGTTTGCTCCCCAATACAATTAACGAGCCTACTATATATTTATTAATATCATGACATGCGGGTAGGAAAATATCACAAAAGTTAACTTCATTTATTCTTCTATTATTCTATCCATATCAAATGATATTAGGAAAATATTACTCTCATTTTTACATGAGGTAGTTATCTCATGTTGTCTTATATCAAAAATTTCACCCACTTTTTTTCTTTTTTTCTTTTTTCTTTTTTATCTTTTAATGACGAGTCCCACATGATTTCTGTAAATAACAAGACAAAGCTACTCTTATGTAAAATGAGAGTAGCATTCCCGTCGTATTAACACTGTGATCTTACCAACAACTTTCATAAAATATCTCCCAAGAGTCCAAGACCCTACTTTGTTTTGACTGTATATATATATATATATATATATCACAATCACTTTATGTACAGCAATAATAAATATATTGATTGATTTTTCACATTTAATACTTTTATTTTGTACAGCAATAATAAATATATTGATTGATTTTTCACATTTAATACTTTTATTTTTTATATAATTGTAATTCTCCATATTATGATTGTACGTATAGCAACTCTATATATATATATATATATATATATATATATATATATATATATAATTTAACACTATTTGAACCATTAATTTTTGCAAATTTAATAACTAATTAATAAATATAACACAATAAATTATAATAATTAACAGTTATTTTTTATATCAAATTAAAAAAATCCTATTCTTTTATATATATATATATATATATATATATATTTATTTATATTGTTTATAAACTTTTATAGTTAAATATTAACCGTTAGTATACATCAACCTAACAATTATAATCTATTAAAAATTAATAATTAATTAATAAATGTGATTCAATAAATTATAACTATTAGATTATCAAAAATTAATAATTAAAATTTAATTATAAGAATTTGTTAATAATTTAGTTTATATATATATATATGAAAAATGGAATCAACGTAAGAATAACAAATCTTACATCACATCTTAACAATTAATCTTCGTTCATCCAACGGTTAAAATTTATTGCATCATAATAATTAATTAATTAATATAATCCAATAAACCTTAATCGTTGAATGCATGAAAACTAACAATAAAAATATAATACAATATAAAAATAACCTATCCCTATTCGTATAACTTGCTCAAGCGCACAATAGCAGTAACAATATATACACTAACACGCATTTTCTTGATATCTTCTGATGTGTAAAAGATTTTAATTACTAACCAAAACACCTATAAACATAATAATGACACATTCAAGCTTCTACTTATCAAATGAAATCTGTACGAAGGCTCTCAAAAATAATCTGCAGGAGTTCAATGCCCTTCACTTGTCTATAAAGTGCACTTAATTGACAATTAAAGAAAAAGATAAAGATCAAATCTTACTAGAGAGACAAACTTTGAAAATCAGTTAAATACGAAAAGGTAAAGAATGGTTAAAATAAACTACAAACGTAGAAAACGAAAAAACGAAAAAAAAAAAAAAAAAAACCCAGAAAATCTCGAATCTTTCGTCCACGGACGTGGAAGAGGTGTACACTCTAAGCATTAATTCTCTGCTCTTGTATCATCATGATCACCATTAGAAGCTGCACCTTCCCTTTGGATTTCTACTTGTGGGACCACCTGTGTAGGATACACGTGGAAACCACCCATGAGTCCCTTTTTCGAGCTATATTTTTATTTCCTTTACAAACATCAAAATATCTTTTTCATGTTAATAATTCAATGCATAAATGAGCCAAAAATGTAAACTTAATGCCTATATTTTACAACCAATAAATATATAAGTAAGCTAGCCTTGTATTTAAAAGCTTCCACACTCTAGAATATGTTTGGTTAACACAATTCATCTGAACAAGAATTAACATAGCATGTAATAATAATGTGTCACAATATACACAAATCAAAACACACCCAAAAATTAAACACACCTGATCATGTGACGAATTGCACGGCTGAGATGATCTCCTCCTCGTTCTTCTGCCTGTTGAACCCATTGAATCTGTCGCATGAAACAGCCCAAAATTAAAAATAAAGAAAGAAAATAAAAATACGGATCAAAAAAGTGAACCCACTTAAAATCAAAGAGAGACTCAAACTGAAGATGAGGACAGTTAGATATTTCTCATGAATTCAAAGTATTTTTTATTAATTCTTTTATTTTTTAATATTATATATTTTATTTTAATATAATTTAAAAAAAAAACTTTATGATAGGGATGTGGGACCCGAAAGAAAAAAGTATATGTTATTCATCTACAAATATCTAAGAGGCTTGTACTAAAAAAAAAATATCTGAGAGGCATATTCGATGTTTTCCGCGGTTCATTTACGTGTTGTTTGGTTTAGTTACTTAAACCGCCTCCACCAATTAAACAAAACCACCAACCGCCGCCGGACGGCCACCGCTTCCGGTTAACGCATTAAAAAGAAATGAATAATTTGCACCCAAACGCTGTCTTATCAACATCCTCAACTCCTACACTTTTGTCTCTCAAAAAACAAAAAAAAAACAAAAAAATAAAATAAAATAAACAAATAAAAACATTGGTGTTGACGAGTGACGGTGGTGGTTGCTAAAATGCGCGGAGGGTATAGGAGGGTTTGTAAAAGCTGCGATCAGGTACCTGAGGTTGCATGGGATTTTCTGGTGCAGCGCCGGTGGTAGGGTTTCAAATCCAAGGTGGATTCGGAGCTGTCGGGGACGTGGCGGTCAAGGCGGAGGAAGTGTTGGTTGTGGTGGTGGTGGCGGCGGGTTAAGCCACCCTTGCTTTCGAGCATTGTGCGGACGAAGGAAGCTTCCATGGTGTTGAGGAAGTGCACATGCTTCTCGTCCGTCCAAAACGACGTCGTTTCACTAGCCGGCACGTGCATCGAAAAGTTCATCGCGGCGGTGGAATCGAAGAGGCGGTGGTTGTAACGGTGGTGGTGATTTCGTTGTTTTCGAAAGGGGGGGTTTTAATGAGCAACAGAAGAGGTGCTCTTTGATGTTGAGTGGTTAAAAGAAACAAAAGTGTGAGAGTATGGAATTGAGGGGTACTCGCTTTATAAGCTCGACACCTGTTTTCTCAGCCCACAATATCGTAGACTCTTTTTTCTTTCGTTGTATTAATATCTGTAGATATTTTGTTTTGGTAAGTTTCTTATTATTCTCTTTTCAAGATATTTCAGTGTGTTAGAGTATGGGAGAAGTTTATGAAGATAAGGAAACATTAAATGTTAAATATCTTATGAAGATATTATGGAAGATAATCCACCGACAGAGGACTAATTAAAAAAGTCTTTCTTTCACCAAAGAAAGGAAGTATTAAATATTCTTCATTGATAATATACAAATTATCAATTTATGTTTAAATTATTTACTTTTTATTTATTAATTTGTGTTTTTAAATTAGTTAATTAAGGTATCAACATGAAGAGTACAAATACATTGAATTGTTGTTGAAGTATTCAAACTGCTTGATTCATTGAATATTCAATCAAGCTCATTCATTTTTTCTTGTTTAAGTTCGTGAACGTCTTGTATAAGAGTGTGGTTGTCTGCGTGTTACTTTGTAAAGTTTAATTTTATTTAGATAATTATAATTACTTAATTTTTATGATCAAAGATCTTTAATTTTTATTTTTCTTCTTCTATTAACATGTCTTAATATAAAAATATCTACTTGATATCATATTAATAAATTTAAAAATACTTCAAATTTTATGTTTTTAAATAAAATAAATTTGTTTTAAGTTTTAAGTTTTAATTTTTGAGTTTGTCTCATTTAAATAAAGGGATTAATGTGTCTCGAATTATAAGAGATAGTTATATCTTTTACATATATAGAAATATATGGGACCCTCATGTGAGAAGAAGAAAAAGGAAAAAAAAATATGAACTTCACACATTTATATATGTATAGAGGATAAAATTATCTTATATAATATGATAAGCATTATTCTCTTAAATAATTAATCAAAGTTTACATTTTTCTTTTTGTCATGTTAATCATGAATTTTAAGTGCTCGACTTCACTCGTATCGTTTACGACTTTACGTTAATAACCGATATTGAGGTTAAACATTTATTTTTTATTTTTTTTTTGGTAAGCAAAGCATATATTCTTTTATTGTATCATCTATGCACGATATCATAATAATGCTAAAAAAAAGTCATTTTAATTTTTTAACATGTTAAATGACATATTTTATGGTATGAAAAACATATGAATTTTTATTTTTTTAATTAATTTTCCCAATAATGAAGTGAAATCAATTGTGAAAAATATTTTTTTTATTCAATGAACTAAAAATTAATAGAACAATTAATAAAATCTCAAATTAATATATCTTTTACTATTTAATAATATATTCAATTATCTCTAAAAATAATTTTACTATATAAACCGGACCCATAAATAAATACAGATTATTAATCATCCACTATGAGTTGGATAAAAACTTCCATTAATTAAATAAACCCTTTTCTTTTTGGGAGGTGTTGAACACGAAACTTTATTGATCTCTATTTTCATCAATGGGTGATAACAAGTAGGAGAGCGAGTAGCAAAGGAATATCGTAGTCGAGTTGGTAGGGTTGAAATGAGAAAGAGGTACAAAAATATCTCTGATTTCATGAGAGCGAGAAAGAGATATTTTGGGGATCAACGAAGAAAAAAAAAGATATTAGGCGGATTTTTTCTTACACGTACTAGATGAATAAAAAAATCAAGAAGAGAAAGAAATGATAAAAATTAATTAATATTTCGATCTAATTATCTTGAAGTAAATAGATAAGGTAAATATAAAAAAGTAGGTAAAATATCTATCATTAAAAAAAACGTAGACTGAAAAAAACATTCTCACTTAGAGATGTTGAATTTAGAGATGTGAATGGAATTGGATGACCTTTGATTTAAATAAGTTAGATTTGTATAAAATAATTTAGGTATGTTTTAAGGGTTTGTTTTTTCTAAAGTTACTTTAGATAACTTTATCTAATGTTCATCGAAACGACGTTGTTTTGACACGAAAATCATGGAGTTTTTGTAATTTTAATTTATTTCAGGGTTATAATAGTCTTTATCATTTTAATTTTTTAATTTTTCAACATCAAAATGACGTCGTTTCGATGAACATTAGACAAAATCATCTAAAGTAACATCAGAAACTTTTTTCCAATGTTTTAAATGTTATATTTAAAATAAATAATGAGTTTATTTTCTATGCAGTTACTGCAAATAAGTTATCTGCAAGCCCAGTACGATGTCGTTTTGAAGCGAAAATTATAGTATTTTTATAATTTTAATTTATTTCAGGGATATTATAGTCTTTATAATTATAATTTTTTAATCTTTCAATCTCAAAACAACGTCGTTTTGAAAGTAAATGCAGATAACTTATCTGCATTAACTGCAAAAATATTTTTCTGATAAATAATATGATATTACCGGTACGTAGTTTTATAGAACCAATATATATAAAAAAAAATATAACCTATTTTCTAAATAGGCTAATTTAAAAAGTTAAGTCTGTTCTATTTTTTTTTTCTTTTACAACGTGAGTCTGTTCTATTTAACTATGTAACAGACCGCTTTATCATTTATATCTTAAAAATACATTTAAAATTTAAATGTCCACATCAGCCTGAGAGCACATTGTTGCTTCGAACTACGAAACCAAGTACCTTTCTTTTCTCTTCCATGTTCTTTTGGTGGTCCCACTTCCCTCTTTTAGTTTCATTTTGTGTCTACTCAAATAATTTTAAAATTCGTAAATACTACAATTTTATTTAGAGAAAATATTTTTTATTCTGATATAAATGATATAAAATTAAGAAATCTTATTTTTTATTTTAACTGTTAATTTTTATTTATGTGATAATTATATTTAGAAAAAGAAAATTAATGGTTGAGATAAAAAATAAAATATTTTAATATTATGCCAAAGTCAAAAGATTTTTTTTATTACGATACCAAATTTAAATTCACGATCTAATATTTTAAGTTCTTTTCCAGTAGTGCGTCTGCATTTACGTTGACTAACAAATTATACTCTTTTATTTATTAATTATTTGGTCAAAAAAGTTTCAATATGAGATAAAGAATTGCAGTATTCAAAACTTTTGTTACTGCCTTTCGAAATTTGACCCATACAAGCTGGATCATGTATAATCTGCCGATATTTGCTCATGCACAATGATGCATATCTGATGCAACTTTTCGTCACAAGTTTTTCTATTCGATAGTTTTTATATAATTCTATTATAATCACTTTTTTATAAAATAATAATATGTAATCCCATTATAAAATTCTTAATAAAGTTAATGTTGGTGATTTTTTTGACCTTGCATAGGTTGTGCCTACCCTAATTTAAAATTTCCTTTTGAAATAATAAAAAAAAGGTGTATACAATAATTGCAGTTTGCTATCAGGACTTTGACGGGTACAGGTTACCCGTTTTTTATTTTTATTTTCCCTTTGTTTAATGATACTGTTATGTGATATGCGGCATGTTATGTGTGTTTCAATTAATCTATTTTTCCAAACGGAGGCATGCCATGCATGATGCATGTATGTCCATGATGGAAGGAATTGAAAAGAGTTTTAGCCTGTCTTGAAAGAAAAAAATTTATGGTGAACCTGGATTATTGTGATTTTTCAATTGAAAATTTGATACTTACTTAAAAAAAATTTAATTTTTTTTCTCTCTTCTCTCTCGTCAGCTTTTTATCTCTTTCTCATTTCTCGGCTCCATTGAATATTGTGTGCTCCAAGAGCATTAACTATGCTCTCGTCTTGAACCTATTAAATCTAAAAAGTTATATAATTTATTATGAAATTAAAAAAATATTAAAGTACAAATCCGAATCTAAATCTAAAAATACATTATACTTAATTTTCAGAACCTAAACTTGGTCAATAAAGAGATATTAATCCTCGACCATTAGGTAGCCGTCACCCTTTTTTTTTGGCTTTTTATTGGTGAATTAAATTTTCATTAATATGGACCAAACGTGCCCAAGAAAGAGATATTACAAATGTGACCGGAGACTTTCTTAAACCACACATAATTTGCACTTGTGAGAGCTAATTTCCTGTGAGTCGCAATTCTTAAAGGAGAATTGAAGGACACAAACCGGTTAAGATATCTACCCAAAAAAAGTTCAACACAGAAAACATATCTAAAGACTAAAGGAAGTAGACAGAGAATTACTATATAAGGCCATTGTAATTGTTGGCCCATTTCTTGTCCTTGATACCCTGAATCACCACAAGATAATAATATCCTTCTAGTAGTAGTGGCCTACTTGATAATGAGTGAATGCTTTCTATTCTTTGTTAAGAGTTTAAAATCCCAAGTTGATAAGAAAAAAAATAAAAGATACTTTTTATTTTACTTTTTTTTTTATATGTACAGTGAGAGAATTTCATTTTACATAAAAGACAACTTGGATCATGATGACCACCTTGATATATTAAATTATGTTAGGAAGGCCCTCTTGACCATAAATTAATAATGTTACTAAGGTTTTAAATCACAGATTGAATCATGTGATGTGGATGTGACATCTTAGTTGCAATGGCCATACACAATTGCATAAACTATGATATTACAGATCACGTCTTATACAATTTAAAAGCAACCTTATACATCACTAAGAAAACAGTACCTTATTTCCTTTTTCATGTTTTTTTATTTTTATCTGCAATAATTCACTTCTTATATGGGGATGCAACTGCCACAAGAGGAAATTTTCTGTGACTAGCCAACCCAGTAGCTTCAGAGATGTCCAATGCCTGAACCCCCATTTCTCCACTAGGCAATGTCCAATCAAATTGGAAGACAAGGTTTGCTAGAACAAGCTGATTCACAACCATAGCAAATGTTAATCCTGGGCAACCCCTCCTTCCTGCTCCAAATGGGATCAATTGGAAATCATGTCCTTTGATATCTATTGAACTGTTCAAGAATCTCTCAGGTTGAAACTCTAGTGGCTGATACCAATGTGAAGGATCTCTAGCAATAGCCCAAGCATTAACTAATACCTGTGTGCCAGTATCAATGTTATAGTCCATAACTTTGGTATCTTGAAAGGATTCTCTTGGAAGCAATAAGGGAGCTGGAGGGTGTAAGCGAAGAGTTTCTTTAACCACTGCCTTCAAGTAATGCATGCCACTCAAATCCTCCTCAGTTATGTGAGTTTTATCATCACTAACCACATTCCTCACCTCAACTTGCAAGTTCTGCATCACAATTGGGTGCCTCAAGAGTTCTGTCATTGCCCACTCTAGCACTGATAAGTTAGTTTCAGTACCAGCAACAAACATATCCTGAAATATAAAACCATTAATGTAACTTTTACAATTATAATTTTGGTACACTAAGTGTGCCAATGCTAGAGACACAAAATTAATATCATAGGTACAAAATATATTACCATGATCAAAGCCTTTATGGTTGTTCTATCAATCTGGAAGCCAGTGAAGTTTGTCTTTTGGATGCACAGTAAAATGTCCACAAAATCATTCTGGCCTTCTCCATCAACATCAACATTTTCATCATTGCCTCTCTTAACATGCTCTTCAACAACTTCATCCAAAAACTCATCAAGCTGTTTAGCTACTCTCTCTGCTCTAGCATATAGGCCATTAACTCTGCTCAACCAATCAAGCCAAGGTATATAGTCCCCTAAAACTGAAGCACCCAACAGTTCCACCAACTCGTTCATTGGCTCCCTAAGCTTACTACCACCTTCTCCACTATATCTCCTTCCAAGAGCAGCTCTACACACTATGTCATTTGTAATTGAAGAGAATAAATCAGTTAAGTTCACTGGCAAGAAGGAAGCAGAACACTGTTTGATTTTCTCCATCATTATAAAAGTTTCCTCTTCCCTCACTGCACGAAAAGATTGAACCTTTTTGGCACTCAGAAGATGCAAGATACATACACTCCTTGTTTGCCTCCAGTAGTGGCCATATGGAGCAAATGCCACATCTTTAGAACCATAAAAGAGTGTATCAAACATCTTTCGGTGTGGCCTATTGGAGAAAACAAGATCATGTGTTTTCATAACCTCACGAGCTGCCTCAGCAGTTGAGACCACAAGAACTGGCACCTTTCCAAAGTGAAGCAACATCAAGGGGCCATAGATTTGAGCAATGGATTGGAGTGTGTGGTGAGGGAACATTCCAAGCTGATGCAGATTTCCTAGTATTGGAAGCTTTGGAGGAGATGGGGGTGAGTTTTTGTTGGTTGAAGATTTGGTGTTCCATTTGGATACAAGATTGAGAAAGGTACTTAGAACAAAGATGATCAACACAGCCATAGTGAGGAACAACCAGTTTGAGAAGATTTCATGAAGAAAAATTGACATTGGTTTTTGGTTGTAGGTGTCTCACACCCTCTGCATTAGTTTTTTTTCTGTTTTTTCTTAGTGCTGCCTTTTGTCCTGCTTATCAATACATGCATATATTCGTTTATTTGAGTTGTAAATAATTATGTCATCACCAGCTATTTTGTATGTGGAGAATGTAGCAATGTGAAAACTGTGCAATTCAAACCATCTTTCCTTAATTACAAAAACTACAAAACAAGAAGAAGAAAGTATATGAGAAAACTAATCCAAAGTATCACAAGCCCTGAACATGGCACATGACATGACAACCTCAAACCATTATGATCACTAAGAAATGAGCTATAATATCAACAATGTACACATAAATAAGACTGATGTGTTTTAAAAAACAAAAAACAACAAAAATTTATGTAACATACTTATATTATAAACATGTTAGAGATATAATTATTATTATTTATGTGTTTTCTACTAACATTTTACTAGAGAGAGTTATGAATTGTTCACGCTTATATATTAAATCATAAAAACTTGAAAAGGATAATCAGAAAATATTATTATAATTGTATGTTAATCTGATACAAAGAGGTCTCTATTTATAGAGACTAAAAAACCTAATTCTTGACCTAATGAGCTTGGCCCAATACAACAGATACTAATAATAATAAAAGACCTAATATTTACAACACTCCCCCTCAAGCTGAGGAATAGATATTTATCATTCCCAGCTTGCCAGTAAGTTCTTGAAATCTGTCTGAAGAAAGTCCTTTTGTCAATATATCAGCTAATTGACGCCCAGTGGGAATGTATGGAGTGGTAATCAACCCGCTATTAAGTTTCTCTTTGATGAAATGGCGGTCGACCTCAATATGTTTAGTCCGATCATGTTGAAGCGGATTATGAGCTATACAAATAGCGGACTTATTGTCACATAGCAACTTCATAGGTCCCTCACATTTTATTTTGAGATCATCAAGTACAATTTTCAGCCACAGTAACTCACAAATGCCTTGAGCCATAGCTCGAAATTCAGCTTCTGCACTTGACCTGACAACCACATATTGTTTCTTACTTCTCCATGTCACTAAGTTACCACAAAGAAACATGCAATAACCAGTGGTAGATCGACGGTCAGTCACGGATCCAGCATAATCAGCATTAGTGTAGACTTCTAAAGAGAGATTGCCATCACGTCGGATAACAATCCTTTACCAGGAGTAGCTTTAAGATACTGAAGAATTCTCTCTACTACCTGCATGTGTTTCTCCTTTGGATCATGCATAAACTGACTGACAACACTAACAACATAAGCTAGGTCTGGTCTAGTATGAGCCAGATATATCAATTTTTCAACTAGCCGTTGATATTGTCCTTTATCAACTGGAGGAGTCTCCTCTTCATAGCCTATCTTGTGATTCTGCTCAATAAGAGTATTAGAGGGTTTACACCCAAGCTTTCCTGCTTCTTTGAGAAGATCCAGAACATATTTCCTCTGGCTGATAAAAATTTCTTTGCTTGAATGAGCTACTTCTATCCCTAGGAAATATCTCAGTTTCTCAAGGTCTTTGACTTCAAACTCAGAGGCAAGCCGTGTTTGCAGAATCTGTCTCTCCACAAAATCATCACCTGTGATAATAATATCATCAACATATACAAGGAGCACAGTAAGCTTCCCATTTTGGGAGTGCTTGAAGAAAAGAGTGTGATCTCCTTGACTCTGTCTGTATCCTAAGGTCATCATAACCTTAGTAAACCTTCCAAACTAGGCACAAGGTGACTGCTTCAATCCATATAAGGCCTTTTTTAATCTACAAACTTTACTTTCTCCCTTCACAGAATCAAAACCAGGCGGGATTTTCATGTAGACTTCTTCTTCTAACTCACCATTCAGGAAAACATTTTTCACATCAAATTGATTTATATCCCAATTGTAATGGGCAGCAAGGGACAACAAGACTCTCATCGTATTCATCTTTGCAACTGGAGCAAAGGTTTCTTCATAATCAATGCCATAGGTTTGAGTGTAACCTTTGGCAACTAATCGAGCCTTGTATCTTTCAAGAGTTCCATCAGAATTATATTTTAGGGCATAAACCCATCTGCACCCCACTGTTTTCTTTCCGTTAGGTCTATCAATAACTTCCCATGTTTTATTTTTCTCCAACGCATTCATCTCTTCTTGCATGGCTTGATCCCAATTCCCATCTTTCAAGGCTTCATGTACGGATTTTGGGATTGAAACAGAATCTAGTGCTGAAACAAAGCTTTTGTGCTGCACAAAAAGATTAGCAGAGGAAACAAAATGGGAGATAGGGTATTGAGTATAAGAGGGACAAGAAGAACAAGATTTCTTGGAACAAGATCTTTTTCCTTTTCTCAAAGCAATGGGTAAATCATCAGAAGCAGTAGTAATGGGTAAGTCATAAGAAGTATTAACATCATGATCAGAAATATGAGATTCAGGACTTACCAGTGGTTCAGACGATTGAGGTTGCTGTTGAGGCAATGTGGGTTGTTTCCTTCTTTGATATATCAATTCAGGTGTCACAATCTTCCGTATCTCTGGTGTACTTGATGTATCAGTCACAGGAGGATCTATCACAGGAGGATCAGACATGGAAGGAACAGGAACAAGAGGAGGTGACACTGACACAGGTAAAGGAATAGACACTGGAGGTTCAGACTCAAAGAAGGACGGTGATGAGTTTTCTGGTGAATTATTCTCCCCCTGAAGATGAGGACCTTGGAAAAAGGACTCAGATTCCTGAAATGTAACATCTAGAAACAAAAAAATTTTGACTACCAGGGAGATATCACTTGTACCCTTTCTTATCAGGAACATAACCAAGGAAGACACATTTAATAGCCCTAGGGTCCAACTTACTGCGATGATGTTTATGAACATGAACAAAAGCAACACACCCAAACACCCGTGGAGGAAGACTCATAATTGGAATAGAAGGGAAAAAGGAAGTGATAGAGTGAATAGAACTTACATGGTCAAGTACCCGAGTGGGTAAACGGTTGATCAAGAATGCTGCAGTAAGAATAGCATCTCCCCAATAGTATTTGGGTACATGTGTCTGAAACATTAATGAACGAGCCACTTCAAGAAGGTGACGGTTTTTTCTTTCAGCAACCTCATTCTGTTGAGAGGTGTCAATGCAAGTAAGTTCATGAATCATACCGTTATTTCGTATAAATTGGGGAAAACTTTGATTAACATATTTAGTACCATTATCTGTCCTTAGTCTCTTGATTTTTTTACCAAATTGGGTTTCAACCATTTTATAAAATTGAAAGAACAGTTATGGTACCTCAGACTTTTCACACATTAAGTAAACCCAAGTTACACGAGCGCAATCATCAATAAAAGAAACAAACCATTTATTTCCAGAAGAATGAGGGACCTTAGAAGGACCCCAAACATCAGAATGAATAATATCAAAAGGTTCAACACTCTTAGTAATACTAGAAGGAAAAGGCACACGATGATGCTTAGCAAACTCACAAACATCACAATGAAAAGACTCAACAGACTTAGACAAAAACAATGATGGAAATAAAGACTTGAGTTAACTAAATGGAGGATGTTCCAGGCGCTTATGATGAAGCCAAATCAAAGAATCAGCAGTTGATTGACCATGAGATAGCAAGATGTGATCCGTGACTTTATTTGCGGGAGATTGTGACACTAGATAGTACATCCCACCTTGCTCTTTAGCACTACCAATTGTCTTCCCCGTGGAGAGATCCTGAAAAACACAATGGGTAGGGAAGAAGGTTACAGTACAATTCAAATCTTTTGTAATTTTATGAATAGAAAGAAGATTCGTGGAGAGTTTAGGAACATGAAGAGCATCTTTAAGATGTAAGGACGGCTGTAAGTTTATGTTACCAGAACCCGCATCTGATGTATGTGAGCCATCAGCTACGACTATGCTATGAGTTCCAATGGTAAGATTATAAGAAGTAAAGGGGTCAGCACAACAAGCCATATGATCAGTAGCACCAGAATCAACAACCCAAGAATATTTAAAATCAGTACATGAAGACAAAAAAGAATAAGTTTTGGAGCTTATACCAGTCATAGCCAAAGTATTAGTATCAGATGGCTTACTCAGAGAATCAAGGATGGTGCGGAGCCGTTCCAACTCATCTTGACGGAATGCAGGTTGGGTCTCATTAGGTGCAAGAGCTATTTCAGAGGAAGTAAAATGTGCTTGACCACGCATCATTGCCATCTTGTCTAAGACCGTTTGCTTTCCATGGAGGCGAAAACATAGATCCTTGATATGACCCGTTCTTTTACAATAAGAACACCAGCGATCATCTTTCTTCGGTCTAGAAGATGAACCATCCGAAAATTTTTCAAAGGAGTTCCTTTGAGAAGAACCATCCCTCTTTGTTGAAATCATAGCAGACCCATCAGTGGGATTAGAGTCAGAAGGAGTTGAAGTAGTAACTTTAGATGAGAGCATAATGGACCCTTCAGACACTTTGGTATCCATCATGACAGCCCTGCGACTTTCTTCACCCTTGACAATATGAAAAACTTCAGAAAGAGACGGTAATTTTTCCTTACCAAGAATTTGAACTCGAATCGGGTCATATTCTGAGTTGAGACCACAAAGGAAATCATAGATCCTATGGCGTTCAATGGAGGCGGTCAAAGTGGCTGCATCCTTGCTACATTCCATCTTCAAGTTCTCGTACTGATCAAGCTCAGTCCATAATTTATTCATAATACCATAGTATTCAGTTATAGAGAAAGAACCTTGCTTGGTAGAAAAGATCTGATTCCTCATATCATGACAAGTGGCAGCATCTTGCTTCATTGAATAGGTCTGCTTAAGAACGCTCCAGATCTCAAGAGCAGTAGGTAAAAACATGCAGTGTTGACTAACCTCAGGAGTCATAGAGTTCCATAGCCACGTCATAATAAGGGAGTCTTCATCATCCCAATCAGCAAATGTTGGATCTATTTTGGCAGGAACAGGTCCTTCAATATGAGAAGC